GGAGGGCACAGTACTGGGATCAGGAGGGCATAGTACAGAGGGAGTCAGGAGGGCACAGTACTGGGATCAGGAGGGCACAGTACAGAGGGAGTCAGGAGGGCACAGTACTGGGATCAGGAGGGCACAGTACAGAGGGAGTCAGGAGGGCACAGTACAGAGGGAGTCAGGAGGGCACAGTACAGAGGGAGTCAGGAGGGCACAGTACAGAGGGAGTCAGGAGGGCACAGTACTGGGATCAGGAGGGCACAGTACAGAGGGAGTCAGGAGGGCACAGTACAGAGGGAGTCAGGAGGGCACAGTACTGGGATCAGGAGGGCACAGTGCAGGTTCTAGAAAGCTACCCGGGTCATCTGGGACAGTTGGCAAGTAGGATTCAAGATTATCCTGGGTACACCCATGCACCAGGGACCGTCTAGGGGTGTCCATGCATTAGACATAAGACAGCCCTGGTCCAGCTTCCTCTGTATCCAGGAAAACTGGAGAAGTTTCTGGATGGTAGGTGTGGAGTTATGCAGATGGAAGCATGAAAATTGATACAGTCTCAGCCTATCCCAGACAGACTAGCTCTGATGGCATGCTGGGTAACTGTATATATTCAGTGAGTACATTGAGCTCAGGGTCTTTCCTGTAGAAGATTGCTCAAGCCTTGCAGAGGGCAGGTTGCCCTCCCAGGCAACTACTGCCATGAGGCCTCAGGTGGGCAACCTGAAGACCTGAATGCTGAGACCCAAGATCTGCTATGCTGACTGAGGGGCTGTCTACAGAAGATCTGCTCTGGGGCCTTGTGAGTACAGACACCCATAAAGGATCTTCGAGACTGTGTGCTGTTTAACCCCCTCTGGTGCTAGGGAGTCAGCTGTGGGTCTAGCAAAGGGAACCCCGGCTGGTATTCCAAAGAGCTTTGTCCACCTGACCTACATCCTAAACGGACACTGCTCAGGGGCTCTAAAGAATTACTAAGAATGATACTACTACTATGGACTCCAACATAGCTTATCCTGAAGATTAGACAAAGTCCTCAATGTACATAGCTAGTTTTTGGAGTATTCCACTCATCTCCATTAACCCTATCCAAGTTCTCCAAAAATGAAAAAGAAAAACAATGAAAAGAACACCCCTAGCCACTTGAAGACCAAGCATTTTCTGGCACTTTTTGTTTAGAAGTTTAAAATCGGTATTTTTTGCTAGAAAATTACTTATAACCCCCAAACATTATATATTTTTTAGCAAACACCCAAGAGAATGAAATGGCGATTGTTGCAATTTTTTGTGTCACATGGTATTTGTGCAGCGATTTTTAAATGCAATTTGTTTGGAAAAAATACACTTTAATGAATTAAAAAAAAAAACACAATATGTACCCCAACTTTCTTGTAAAAATATGAAGGATGATTTTGCAGTGAGTAACCAGATACCTAACATGCCACGCTTTATAAACCATTCAATGGGCGTTTGCAATTTTAAACTACAGAAGTTAAAAATCTCCATAGGCATCACCTTCAAATTTTTTACAAATTACCTGTTTAGAGTTACAGAGGATGTCTAGCGCTAGAATTGTTGCTCTTGCTCTAACGTTTGCGGCTATACCTTACATGTGTGCTGCGAACACCATTTACATATGCATGCGCGATTTACGTACGTGTTCGCTTGTCTGCAGGAGCACGAAAGGATGGAGCCACTTGAAATTTTTTCTTGCTTATTTATTTTATTTTTTTATTTTTACACTGTCGCTTTAATTTTTTTTATGACTTTTGTTCCTCTTACAAGGAATGTAAACATCAATTTTAATAGAAATAAGGATGACAAGTCCTTTTTAAGGAGAGATCTGGGGTCAAAAAGACCCAAAATCTCTCCTTTACCTTTAAAAACAAAAGATAAAAAAAAAGAAATTTTTGATCTTTTGTTTAATAAAAGAAAAATTGTTTACATCCGTGGAAGTGACATCATGACATCGCTCCAGTCCAAGGCCATAGAGGCAATCAGAGATGATCATGTCTCTCACCGCCAGCTGGCCACACTGTCCGATCGTTTCTTGGGCGCACTGGTTGAAACGGTAAGCCCAAGTAACACGGGCGAGCAGTGGAAGGGAGGGGACATCTGAAATTGATCCAGTGGCTACTGAGTCACTCGGACCACTTTCGTAAGTAAGCCAGCCGCCGGCTGCAAAAAAAGATGCAGGGGTTATGGCTGATATCTTTACTTGCATACCGCAACACTTATGTATGTATTGCGGTCGGCAGGGTAGAGCAGGGGTCTCCAATCTTTTTAAACAAAGGGCCAGTTTGCTGTCCTTCAGACTTTGAGGGGGCCGGACTGTGGCCAGTAAAAGTAGAAAATGCTCTGGCATCAGTGGGAGTAAACTATGCCCCATCATTGGCGTCAGTGGGAGCAATAATTCCCCATCATTGGCGTAGGTGGGAGGAATAATTCCCCATCATTGGTATCAGTGGGAGGAATAGTGCCCCATCATTGGTATCAGTGGGAGGAATAGTGCCCCATCATTAGTGTCAGTGGGAGGAATAGTGCCCCATCATTGGTATCAGTGGGAGGAATAGTGCCCCATCATTGGTATCAGTGGGAGGAATAGTGCCCCATCATTGGTGTCAGTGGGAGGAATAGTGCCCCATCATTGGTATCAGTGGGAGGAATAGTGCCCCATCATTGGTGTCAGTGGGAGGAATAGTGCCCCATTATTGGTGTCAGTGGGAGGAATAGTGCCCCATCATTAGTGTCAGTGGGAGGAATAGTGCCCCATCATTGGTGTCAGTGGGAGGAATAGTGCCCCATCATTGGTAGCAGTAACAGTAATTATGTCCTATTGTCGGTGTCAGTCTGTGGAATAGTATTTTGTATGGTTGGGGAAGAATAGTGCACCAAGGGCTAGATAAAGGCAAGCAAAGTGCCACATATGGCCCCTGGGCCACAGTTTGGAGACCACTGCCCTAGAACCTCCCCTGCAGTACCTTATTTTTATGTCTTCTAGCCAGTCACATGAAACACTGGGGGCTATTTACTAAAACTGAAGAGTGAAAAATCTGGTGCAGCTCTGCATAGAAACCAATCAGCTTCCAGGTTTTATTGCTAAGGCTTAATTTAACAAGCTGAAGTTAGAAGCTGATTGGCTGCCATGCACAGCTGCACCAGATTCTAAGTGCACCAGTTTTAGTACATCTACCCCACTGGGTCTTCTTCCTCTTTGATCTTTTCCTAGAAGTGCCTGGTTCTGCTGGTGCTTAGTGGTACTGAAGTGATGATATAATTAACACCCTCTGCATCTATATTTTGATTTACAGGGCACCGTGGTGATGCCCCCTCTGGATCCATGATGCCCTGTACTTACAGTCTGTCCTAAGTCTTTCCGGTTGGGTGACTCTGGACATCATTCATCCTGGAAGACTGTGGACATCATGTGATGGAGAAGAGGTACTACATGGACAGCTCCGTTGTGAGCATTGGAGCCAAAGAGGTATTTTTTTTTTAAACCTCCATTGGAACTTTAAATTAAAAAAATTGGGCTGTACTGTATTACATTTATGCACACTCAGATGTTGAGAGAAAGAGTATCGAGTCAGACAGTTGACAGGCCAAAACAACTGCCAAGCTTCATCAGAAGCCACCATAGACAAACCAAGTAAATCAAAACAAGAGCTAGATAAGATATGCTGTAACTCTACAGTTCTGACACACAATAATAATAATTAATATAAAGGATTCACTGAGCATTTTGAAAGTGTAACATTTTAGTTGAATAAAACAGACCCCTTCTAGGTAAAATATATGGGCAGCACAGTGGCTAAATGGTTAGCCCTTCTGCCTGGCAGTACCAGGGTCGTTGGTTCAAATCCCAGCCATGGCACCACCTGCCTGGAGTTTGCATGTTCTCCCTGTGCCTGTGTGGGTTTCCTCCCACACTCCAAAGACATGCTGATAGGTTAATTGACCCTAGTATGTGTATGAATGTGACTTAGGGACCTTAGATTGTACACCCCTTGTGGGTTAGAGACTGATGTGAATGTACAATATAAAGTGCTGTGTAAATTGATGGCGCTATATAAGTACCTGAAATAAATAAATACACTACAAGCCTTCCTTTGAAACACAACCCCCTAGCATTTCTGGCCACAGCCATCTTGAATAGGGGCAGATGACTCATGTAGCAATTACTTCTTGGAATCTGTCTGCCCTTAGCTCAGGCATACAGGCAGGAGGGTGTGCTTAACTGGGAAAACCCCTCTTGAAGACTCCTGGAATGCATGTGAGCAATTTCCCAAGCCTGAAAACCAGGAGGTAACTGAAGAAATGTAAAAAAAGAAAAGTTGTAAACAAGTAAACATGATATACTGTGCTATTTTTTTACTAATGCTAACAGCATAAGGATTTAAAATAGTCATTGTTGATTGAGAGAGTGCAGGTCCACTTTAATATCAGAAAAATGCAAAATGGCATGAACCCATGTACTGTATGTTATATCAAACACTAACAATGACATATAAAGCGTCCACAACACTGCCCCAATTTACATAACCGATCTTATCTCTAAATATCACCCAAACGTACTCTCCGCTCCTCGCAAGACCTCCTACTCTCTAGCTCCCTTATCTCCTCCTCCCATGCTCGTCTCCAAGACTTTTCCAGGGCGTCACCCATCCTCTGGAACTCCCTACCCCATCTATCAGACTATCGCCTACTCTACTTACTTTTAGGCGATCACTGAAAACCTATCTGTTCAGGGAAGCATATCCCGCCCTCTGCTAATTCTGGAATCCTCTACTCTTCCAACCACTCCATCCCCCACAGTTACTACCTTTTGTACCACTAGTCCCTCCCTCCTAGATTGTAAGCTCCAAGGATCAGGGCCCTCCTATCCCACTTGCATTGAACTGTACTGTTACTGTATTGTCTCCCACTATAATGTACAGCGCTGAGCAAACCGTTGGCGCTATATAAATCCTGTAATAATAATAATAATAATTTTTATTTACAAAAGTGGAGCTTTCCTGTAGCCTCCCTGGCGGTATTCCCGAGTGTAGCTCGGGGTAAAGTTTCAGCACCACAAGCGGTAACCCCGAGCTACACTCGAGCTTACCATGCGGATCTCTTCTGCACTTACCTTGTCCTGCGCTCCCGCGATGTCCCCCCTGCAGTGTCCCCGGCAATGTAATCCGGCCGATGCCGGCATCTGTCATCTGGGTTCCGTTCCCTGCGACGTCAGGACGTACGGGGACGGAACGGCGGGAAATTTGAAAATGACAAAAAGTGACATTCACTAAATACACTAAAATCACATAGTATAACATTCCTGTATCAAACCATTTCACATACATTTTGTCCCGAGTGCTTTGTCCTGGCCCCTGCCTGCATTTTTACTGTTCTTTCTGCCTGGAAACTGAGAAACGTCCATGGCGTCCAAAAAGTGTCCCTTTAGGTCAAAAGCAGTTTTAGACCGGCTAGAGAACAGCGATAGTAAATCAGAACCACTTGCAGAAATTGAGTGATAATGATTCGTGGGGGAAATTCGTCATCAGACACTGAAAACCATTTTGCGACTTTGCTCAGTGATGTGTGAACTTGGCGCTATATTTCAAATTTCAGTGTTTTTGGTTTGATTATATTATTGAATTAAATTTATTATTATTATATTATTATTTTTTTATGATTATTTATTATATTATAATTTATGATTTTGGGTTTCAAATTTTATCATACCCGGGATGTTTACTAGACTCTTGTTCGGACAGATTTCAGTGAGTTATTCCTAAAAATTACAGGCCTACAATACACAAAATACATATTTCCATGCAAAAAAATGTACCGATTTGAGCACAGAAATATGGACATAATCAGACCGCTAGGGAGGTTAAGAAGGTCACATTACTCCAAATGGTTTGTATAATAATAAGAAAAAAATGTGTTCAATGAATGTAATGTTGCAATGCATCAAATTTGCATTTTACGCCATGCATGTCACACTTGGATATGTATGGCAGCGGTATGCTTTGATATTCCTGTGTGATGTTGACATTTATATTTGTTCCCTCCGCTGCATTATGTATAGACTATATTCCTGCATGACAAGCTCATCCCCGAGCAATTTCCTCTCGGATACCCTCTTCCCCAGGCAAAGGGTGCAAGGTTGTCTAATTATCCACTGGACCCCCCCCCTGTAAATATTCTGATGGCATAATTAAAGGGTATTAACCCGGTGACCCTTGCAAAGATCAATCACACCTGTCAGCATTATAATCACTATAAACAGCTGCTGTGGACAGTACTGGTGGCATTCCTAGAAGGGAGAATGGTATCAGATGCTGCGTGAAGAGGAACTGCCATGTTATATATATACAGGAACTTTATGCTGAATACAGCTCACATAATGTGATTTTAGAAAGCAAAAAAAGTGCTAATAGGTACAAAAGCAGGGGCGGACTGACCATTCGAGCACTCAGGCACTGCACCGAGGGCCCGGGGTCAGTAAGGGGCCCCATGAAATGCCCCTGGTACCTTTTATAGGCTTTTTTGGGTGTGCTTTGAGTGTGGGCAAGGACACAGGGGCCCAGGGGCGGACTGACCATTTGGAAACTCGGGCACTGCCCGAGGGCCCGGGGTCAGTAGGGGGCCCCATGAAATGCCCCTGGTACCTTTTATAGGCTTTTTTCGGTGTGCTTTGAGTGTGGGCAAGGACACAGGCCCAGGGGCGGACTGACCATTTGGAAACTCAGGCACTGCCCGAGGGCCCGGGGTCAGTAGGGGGCCCCATGAGATGCCCCTGGTACCTTTTTCATAGGCTTTTTTGAGTTTGGGCAAGGACACAGGGGCCCCATGATCCCCTATTGCCCGGGGGCCCCATGAGTTGTCAGTCTGCCCCTGATACAAAGACAAAAAGTATTGCCAAAGTAACACAACTAATGGAAGCTAGCAACACATGGAACTAAAACCGCAGGTTCCCTCTTCTGGCATACAGAGTTTATACCGTATAAAGTGCATTCACAACGTATTCAGACCCCTTTCACCATTTTCAATGTTGTCATGTTGCAGCCTGATACTATAGTTGTTTAACCACTTCAAGTCCGGACACTTTCACCCCCTTCCTGTCCAGGCCAGCTTTCAGCGCTGTCACACTTTGAATGATAATTGCGCGGTCATGCAACACTGTACCCATATGAATTTTTTAGCATTTTTTTGAGACCGATAACACTTTATTTTGGTGGCATTTATTCACCACTGGGATTTAAATTTTTTTGCTATATAAATGAAAAAGTCCAAAAATTTTGAAAAAAGTGTTTTTCTTATAAAATTTTGCAACTAAGTAATCTTTCTTCATAAATCTTGGCCTAAATGTATTCAGTTATCTTTTTAGTAAAAAAAATAAATAACTCAAATTAGTTTATAACCAAAAATTATAATTTTTCAAAAAAAGGTTTACATTTTTTTTTTTTTTTATTATATTATTATTTATGGGGGTTTTTTAACATACTGTCACCCTAGCAGTACAGTGTCACCATAGTGACACTGTACTACTTGTGAGGGATGATGAAGATATTTTTTTTTACACTGATTGCTTTTACACCCATAAAGGCTGTAAAAGTAATAACTTCTCTTTCTCTCAGGCTGCATTCTTGCAGCCATTGAGAACTACTGTGAGAGCTGTGACTGGTCACAGCTTGTCACATGGTACAAGGCAGTTGTGAATAGCCTTGTACTATGTGATCTCTGTGATCATTCACAGATTTCACTAGTAGTAAGCAGTGATGTCAAAAGCGACATCTTGCTTACTAATATTGTTGTGATCACTGATTAGCCAATCAAACACAAAAATAGTGAAGCGCTAAAGTGAATCCCTATATACACACACAGTGCATATAACATGAGACGAAAAACATACCTCATAAATAAAATAAATCTGTGGTATAAAATAATAAATAAACCAATAAAAAAATCAAAAAAAAATTATAAAAAAAAATTTTAGAGAAAAAATCTCTTTCCTTGCCCTTAAATGTTTCTTCAAATCAATCAGTGATAAAAAATTGAAAATCCATAATAATGCGAATAAACAGTGATACAAAAATAAAATCTGTGTTAATTAATATTCAAAAAAGAATATATATATATTTAAGTGATAATTCCAATGATATATGTGACAACCTAACAGAATATAAATAAAAATTCATAAATTGTGATTCTCAATCAAATAAACGTGATTAATATTAATTGTGAAAAAAACCAAACATTAAACTATTAAATAAATGATCCACTAAATCTTGTGATGTTTAAATATGAAAATGTGTCCACAAATGTGAACAAAAACAGTTCATGCAATAAGGTGAAAACGACACTCAGTGTTCTTCACTTCTAGTGCTCAAAACAGAAGAAATCCTCCAATGGCAGCAATGCCTGCTCACCTCCCCAACTCGACCCGCAAAGGGCCACAAGGCTATAACTCTCCTCCAGGTAATCCTTTGCTTCCAAGCAGCTCAGTAAGGAATCACAGGACCTCCACTCCACCTCCACCTCCTCTCAAACGTCATATAGGACACAAACAGAGCTTCCCATAGTGTAATACCGTTTATTTAAGACACTCCATATAACATACTGTTTCCACTCACATGCGTTTTCTTAATGAAAAATGCAATCCTCCTCATTCCCTGGGTGCATTCACATGTAAATAGGGAAACCAATATGGCTGCTGTGCTCGGACAGGGAATGAGGAGGATTGCATTTTTCATTAAGAAAACGCATGTGAGTGGAAACAGTATGTTATATGGAGTGTCTTAAATAAACGGTATTACACTATGGGAAGCTCTGTTTGTGTCCTATATGACGTTTGAGAGGAGGTGGAGTGGAGGTCCTGTGATTCCTTACTGAGCTGCTTGGAAGCAAAGGATTACCTGGAGGAGAGTTATAGCCTTGTGGCCCTTTGCGGGTCGAGTTGGGGAGGTGAGCAGGCATTGCTGCCATTGGAGGATTTCTTCTGTTTTGAGCACTAGAAGTGAAGAACACTGAGTGTCGTTTTCACCTTATTGCATGAACTGTTTTTTGTTCACATTTGTGGACACATTTTCATATTTAAACATCACAAGATTTAGTGGATCTTTTATTTAATAGTTTAATGTTTGGTTTTTTCACAATTAATATTAATCACGTTTATTTGATTGAGAATCACAATTTATGAATTTTTATTTATATTCTGTTAGGTTGTCACATATATCATTGGAATTATCACTTATATATATATATTCTTTTTTGAATATTAATTAACACAGATTTTATTTTTGTATCACTGTTTATTCGCATTATTATGGATTTTCAATTTTTTATCACTGATTGATTTGAAGAAACATTTAAGGGCAAGGAAAGAGATTTTTTTTCTCTAAAAAATTTTTTATAATTTTTTTTGATTTTTTTATTGATTTATTTATTATTTTATACCACACAGATTTATTTTATTTATGAGGTATGTTTTTCGTCTCATGTTATATGCACTGTGTGTGTGTATATAGGGATTCACTTTAGCGCTTCACTATTTTTGTGTTTGATACTTTAATACTTATTGGTTAAGGCAAAGTGATAGCAGCTGTTAGGATAGGGACTTATCCATATTAAGCGCAGGAGGATATTCCCATTCTGATTAGCCAATCAGTGATCACATGATCAGGACCTCACACAGAAGTCCCGTACAGTGATTGGTGTTCCGCTGTTTCCTAAGGACACAGTGGGCACCGGATTGCGGTGCCATGCGCTCCCAGGGAGCGCGCACAGGCTAAAATGGTGGGCGCCATTTATGAACTCTTGCACTGCTCCCTTAAATTCATTTTTTTTTCTTATTAATCTACACTCAGTATCCCATAATGCCAAAGTGAAAAATTTTAGAAATGTCTGTGTATTTGTTAATAAGAAAAAACCTAAATATCACATTGGCACGTTGACCCTTTAGCAGTTTTTTGAAGCACCTTTGGCAGCAATTACAGCCTTGAGTCTTTTTGGGTATGACATGAGAAGCTTTGTAGACCTGGGTTGGGGGATTTTCTGCCATTCTTCTTTGAAAATCCTATCCAGCTCAGTCAGGTTGGATAGGGACCGTCAGTGGACAGCGATTTTCAGGTCTCTCCGGAGATGTTCAATAGGGTACAAGTCAGGGTTCTGGCTGGGCCATTCTAGAACATTCACAGAGTTGTCCCTAAGCCGCTCCTGTGTTGTCTTGGCTGTGTGCTTAGGATCGTTGTCATGTTGGAAGGTGAACCTTCAGCCCAGTCTGAGGTCCTGACCGCTGTGGAACAGGTTTTCATTGAGGATATCTCTGTACTTTGCTCCATTCAGCTTTCCCTCA